CTAGAATCGAATTCTAAGAAAAATTTCAACAAACAAAAATCAATTACGGCGGGTCAATAACCGGGTTTGGAGGATTTTTTGGGCCCAAATCCTTTCCAAAGATGCCACCAAGTTGTTTTCCTTTCCGTTTCTTCGTTTCGGGAACAAAGTAATAGCTTCGGCTTCGTCGGCCACCAGCCACGTATCGATCGCTTAACGCCTGAAATTGTATGCTTAGGAATGTTACACAACTCGTGGAATTACCACTGAAGAACACAGCGAAGCTCTCAGGTTACATGTCCGTCCTACCGGTGTTCCCGGCCGCGTCCGACATCCCACGTTCATCATTTCTGCCCAGATCACTGGGAAAATCACTAGGCTTGGGAGTTTCCCTAGGGTTATCGGTTACCTTTACTTCAGAATTTTACTATTTCCAGCCTTGGATTAACTACCACCGGGGAAGCCCCGTCCTCTTGTGTTCCTCCCACAACATCCAACGCCCCCCCCCCGCCCCATTAATCATGCGCCATTCGAAATCCATCAAAACGCACTTCAACAAAACACCCTCTTGAGGCTTTTGATGCATCGGCCAGATTGGACTGGTCCTTCCCAGGATGCCAGTGCTACTGTCGGTGCTCCTATCTCCTTGAAACATTTCTAAACTCATTTTCTCCCTCCTATTATTTTCCAAATTTATGGTCTTTATTTATTTTCCAAACTAAGCTATTTATTTACCTATCTATTATTGTTCATTTTGCCGTTGAAAATTCTTTATTGCCCCGAATTCATGGATTTATGCCCTTATTCTTGTGTTTCTGGTGCGCCTGCTATTAATAAAACGGGTTTCTGGCAATCTCGACAAAAAATCACTAACCGGAGAGTTTTTTACACGACTCGATCAATAAATCAATACGGATTAAGAACTCTTTCGTGAAACCCCACAGCGTAATCTCAGTCTAAGCCCGTGGGGAAGACCTTAAATGACTTATCTTGTTTTGTCACAAGAAGTAGAAAGAAATCTTCTCTCGACGACCCGACCATCTGCAAAGGGGTGGTTATCGATTTTTTGATAAGCTAATGATTGAGCTGTCACGGAATCGATAGCTATGAGTCATCACCGTGAACAAGGTGATTTCACATTGTTCTGAGCACTGCGCTTCCCGAGGCCTAAAGTTCCACCAAAAACCTTCTTCAAAATTTTTTAAATATTGATTTTTGACGGATTTGAGGGCACCACCTCTTCGATTTTCACCTTCACATTACATTCCTGGTGTTAGAATATCAGAGTAAGCGTAAAGCGCAGTGGCCTTGCGCGCCACTGCCACACGTATCCGCTTGATTAGTTTGTTAGCTCGAGTCGCACCCGTGTCAATCAAGCACAACTCTCTCCAGGGCAGCCTAATTTGAGCCCTAATTGGAAGAAATTGCTAAATCACAACATTTGGTATTACCAAATCAATGGAAATCATCGACCAACTTACAATCGACTCCGCAAATCAAGGATTATTTAGCTGCATGGCGCATCCTACAGGAACACTGAATTCTGTACAGTTACAATATTAAGCTTTTGCATTCTTTTGTTCTTGTTCTTGATCCATCTTGTGTTGACTATTTGGAGTTTTGAGAGTTTTTTTTTCAGTCTTCCTCCTTCGTTTCCCTTTTTTCTTTTATAAGCCTAATTATAATTATGATATCAATTCCTGGTGATGACGTCATTCGGTGCCAATTTTGTGGCTTCAAATCACAATGCGAAAATTTTGTCACCGCGGGGAATCGAACCAAGGACCACTTCACCACTCCTTTTTTGGCATTCAAAGGCCATTGAGGCGAAAATTGGACCATATATAGTTCGTGTACTCCCATGCTCATCCTTCTATAAAATGCAAAAAGACTGGTTTGTAAGCAAAGGTTCCAGTCGCCCTGAACGCCTTCCTTGTTTAGAAGAAAGCCGTCAATCTCTTTTTTATTCTCCCCTTTTTCGTTTCTTTTTTATTGATTCTTCAGCGTTTACGAGCTTCTTGTTTCCACAAATTACATTCGGCGCTCATCCAGTAAGGGGGCATCAAGTGGCTGCCCTCACCCCCCACCCCCTAGACTGCCTACACTCCCCTGGCGCACAGGTTTCTCGAAGTACGGGACCCCGTGAGCCAGGGGAGAGTGAAGCCAGTTCAGGGGGGTGGGGGTGAGGGCAGCTATTAGACGTTGCATCACAATGCCCCCCCACCCTTACCGGATAAGCGCCCACCATTCGCTCGAAACAATATGAGAGATAGGAATTCAGTGTTTTCGGCATTTTTAGTGTTTTCTTTTTATCTACCTGAACACATTTTTAAGCTTTTTGTCAGTTTATCTTCTACTTTTATTCACTTGAATCACTATCCTTTCAACCCCAAACCGCCGCTGCTGTTTACCTTTTGAATAGTTCTTTTTTATGCAGTAGATCTAATGACGTCATTTATTGTTCTTATTTCTTTGGGTGTCCCCAAGAGGCCCGTCGCGCGGCGAAGGAAGAGACGCAGACGCGGCAAAGGACGAGTCGCAGCGCATACTGTAGCGGTTAGGCGTCAGGTTAAATAGAGTGTACCATACTACGTCTCATATCGCACAGCACGCGCTGCGACTCGTCCTTTGCCGCATCTGCGTCTCTTCCTTCGCCGCGCGATGGGCCTCTTGGGGGACACTGGTTTTTTTTGAGATGGATTTTATTTCAGATGTTCCTAGTATTTCTAGTCTGTATAATTGTATTGATTGCGTTATTCTTCAAGAACAGCGATAGCACTTTCAATTTATGGTTTTGGTCAAAATTCGGTGCCAACGAGGGTGAGTCTCTGGAGTGAAGCCATTTAATTTTTTTATATTGGTGGCCGAATCCCCAGTGGGGTGGGCTCGACGGTTTTATGGTGCAACACCTGAATGCGCTGGGTTCCTTGTTCGATTTTTGACGGATCAATCCCACCCAGGCCATCCCACGCATTCCAGCACTCTGTATTCGAGGTTCGGGCGGTTCTGGCGATGAGAGATATAGAAGCGACATCGGCCCACCTCAGAAGGTTGGATCTCAAAGATATGCTCCACGGTAGCGCAATGCAAGTAGAGGGGAGGGTAAAGTCTGAAGCAGTATGTACTGTAGGTCCGCGTTTTCGAAGCGGAGCTATGGCACTGTAATAATGAGAAGGGGTGGGTACAAGAGGACTCTGATGTAGAGGCACGGTAGAAGAATGGGATAAGGGCGCAGGGGTACTTCCCCCCCAGGAGGCCCGTCGCGGCAAGAAGGCAAAGTCAGCGGACGAGTCGCGCGCGTACTATAGGGATTTCGCGTCAAGTTAAATAGAGTGTCCCACTGCACGTCCTACATCGCACACCACGCGCTGCAACTCGTCCGCCGACTCTGCCTTCTTGCCGCGCGACGGGCCTCCTGGGGGTACCCAGAGTGCAGATATTGGTTGGAGTGCCAATGGAGACGGCCTGCCCGAGATTCGAGGTCCTGTGCGGGTTACTACGGGCTGTCTTCGACGTAGTGGATGTACACATCAACGTTTTCAAGCGTTCAACCATCCCTTAACCGTACCCCCTACCCCCTCCCGCTCCCCTCCCTTCAACTCATCACTAGTTTGGCGCATTTCCCTTATTGTTGACTGGTTCTGGAATGTGCCTTACGCGTTCGAATAGCTCTATGGTTTTGACTAGAAGTGCTATGCATGATGTAACCGTGAGGATTCTTGGACTATAGCGTCCATTCGCTTTTGATGCTTTCTGATTTGGATTTAAACAAGATTCTCGAGCGTAGTGGCTGAAGAGGCGTTGGTACTACCAGACAAAAGCTCCTTTGAAGGACGAAATAAAATCTGGTGCAGAAGTGTAACCTCGCGATCATCCCTTTTCTTTGTATTCGACTTGTACACGTGTACTTTGTACTTGTACAGATGGATACTTGGAATCGTGGGGGGGAGGAGGGTGTGGGGGGGTAACGCGCCTGTCAATGCCCCGGACTTGGGTAGGGGTGTATGTGGACTCTGGATAGGAGGAATCTAATTCAGAGTGGGCCCAAGCCACGGTTTGCACGCTTAGCACCCACAGGTAAACTGCCGTCATCAACAAGCATTGACTTGTCTACACCATTCCGAATCAAAGATGAATGCATGGCGTCTACCCGGCTTGCGAACGAACTGCGCATTGCGAGTTCAGAAGCAGGGGTCAACCCTACGTTGCTACAAGTAACAACGGGGGTCGTAGTTTGTTGAAGTTTTTTGGTGGGGGGGGGTCGTACTTGTTTCGGTAGCGCGAAATTACATGTGATGAGGTGAGAGCGCGCGGGAGAAAATTGCCCGTTTCAGCAGCGTTTTCCAACCCCCCCCCCCCCACGGATGTTTTTGAGGGAAAAAGTAGTTGTGAAAGGGGTCGTATGAAAACTTTCGATGAAGGAGGGGGGTCGTAAAAATTTTGCAAAAAGTACCAACGATAGGACCGACCCTGCGTGAGTAGAGAGCTTCTAGTGCGTGGCGGCACGGCAATCGTGAAGGAATGCCTAATTCCTAACTCGTGCTTTTGAAGGCTCGGGTTTCGGGTCCTTAGAAGAATTCGTTCCCTGAGTGAGGCGTCAAAATACCTAACGCGCAGGGGTGGCGGTACTGAGGTTGCGTAATGAAGGAGGTGACGCCTCCGCTGCGACCGCTGGCATTTTACCAAATCACATCGCAGGTGGCGTCTGCGTCCTCTCACGTACGACGTGCTCCTTCGTTTTTCTCTCCTCACAGCGTTTCAGTCGATTTCACGAAAAAAATCGCACTGTTTTTTGTGTTGCTTTTTGATTATTTTCCCCACTGACGTCCTTCTTCACCATTTGTTTTCTAATTTTCGGCTAAATAACACGCCGCTTAGCGGCCTGTACCTTTAAGATCCCGACCACACGTTCATTTCGTGCCAGAGAAATGATATTGCCAATTGCCTTGTGTCTAACGCATGCCACAGGCCACCTCTCCCTCTGCGTTGGCAAATAGTCCTTTCTTTCGTTAAATGATCAACGTACACTTGACTATGATTTAATCCAAACAAATGAAAGCCTGGTCTCCTCAGACGAGGTCGCAGACAGCTACGGCCAGAAATAAACGCTGTTCTCAATGATCCATGAATCTCACGGCAATTTGCGCAATCTGTGCCATAAATCACGATCGTTTTCGGGACGAGGGAAACGATGTGAAAGAAATAGTTGACGAGCGGGATCCGCCGGATGCAGCACTGCAGACGGCGATTGGTCTTATTTATGAATGAGCTTTAATCGGTTGAAGGGAAGATAGCCTAGCTGTGATTTTTCAAGTGGTATTGGTGCTAAGCGCCAGTGTGTGAAACATTCATCACCCCTTGCGTGACGCCAACGGGATCCATCCGTCATGAACACGCAATCATTAACGAGTAATGACAGAACGCAGACCGATTGTTCGGAAAGTCGCCACGAATTAAGTTTTCTGCCAGAATGCGGAGGCAGTTGAATGTGTGTTTGATGCAAAGTAAATGTGAGCTACGGGTTGAGGGCAGTGGAGTGTTTTGTGTTTGTCCTGCTCCCAGACCTAACGTGTACCTACATAGGTCGGGAAATCAATATGATGAACGACCTAGCTCCAGAGCTGAGCAGGAGGAAACGAGCGGCTTGGGGAGCGTATAAGAACATCGAGGGAGTAGTGAAGAAGACGAAGAACATCCGGCTCCGTGCCCACCTCTTTCGATTCCGCTGTCCTTCCTGCCCTAACCTACGCCTCAGAGACTTGGACTCTGCGCAGGCAGGACGAGCATGCGGTCAGCGTTATCCAACGCGCTGTCGAGAGGACGATGCTAGGAGTAACCCTATACACGCAAGTGCAGAGGGGAATCCGGAGTGCCGAACTACGCCAACGATCGAAGATCAGGGACGCTGCCGTTTTCGCCAAGGAATCGAAGATAAGGTGGGCCGGACACGTCATGCGATTTTGCGATGACCGTTGGACCAGAGCGGTTACCGACTGGATCCCTCGGGACGTCAAACGAACACCTGGACGACCGCCGGCCCGATGGTCAGACTTCTTCACGAAAGCTCTGAACGAAAGGAATGAAGGCTTCGTGTCCCTCGAGCGAGGAGGATCCACTGGACACTCTAGCACGCGACAGGGACGAATGGAGACGTTGCTGGCGCCCGCTCGAGCAAACGACAGGTGATACAGGTGGTGATCCTCCCAGACGACTTTGATGATATCTAGAGGATTTTAGACTGAATCTGCCGACGGGTTGGTGCAAAATGGCGCCAGTTGTCAAAACCAGATGTCACATTCATCGTCAGGACCATTTTGAAGGCCAACAAGTGGCCGCCAACCTTGATTGCAAAATTTAGTCGCCGCGGGGATCGAACCAGGGTATTATTCACCACTTTTTTGGTACTACTAAAACCGTTCAGCGAAAAAGAAACATGCGTCCTTACAAGATGCAAGGAACCGTTTTAAAGAAGCGCGGTTTGCTCTGAAAGACCCCCCCCTCCTTATTAGGCTCGCGATGTACGCCATGATCGGAGCTTATCAAAGCAATGAAACTGCACCAGGATATGACCCTATATAGACTCTGAACATATGGTTAGTGTAGCCGGCTAGGTTAGGCCAAGACCATTGTTTTCACAGAGCTGACTATAGTACCGAAGTCGGCCAGGTGCAAGGCTGATTCGTGCCTGATAGGATAGATTGCTGATTTTGCCTTAACGGTTGTTGATCCGTGATATACGAAGCCTTTCAAAGCGTTGAGTCGGGACCAGATACCGAGAAGTAGACCCCCCCCGACAAATCGAGAAAGAGGGGTCCGGAGGCGCTGCCGTCCTTATCATTCGTATAATGTATGCTATACGTCTACGCCCTCTCGCGTACGACATACTCTCCGCGTTTTCTCCCTCCTCGCAGCGCTTCTTATCCAATTTTCGACCAAAATAAACACCAATTCGATCCCGACCCTTGCCTTTAACCATTGCGCTATTTTTTCTTAGCAGAAACAGAGGGTATATGATATCACATGAATCTTTTAGAGAGTTACTTTCGTGGGTAAAACGTTGGGATTGCGCGAGTGGGATTGGCGCCGAGCTGGTGTTACGGTTGGCCCAGCTGGAGTGCAGTATCATTCTATCAGCTCGACGGAAAGAGAAGTTGGACGCATTAAAAACAAAATGTGATGGTCGGTTACCTCATTCCCCTGCGTAAGATCAATCGAAAAAAATCAATATTTTCCAGAGAAATCGTCTACCAGATCATCAGTCGTGTTTCCATTAGATGTGACCAATTTCCAACAATTGGCTGAAGCTTGTCGGAAAGTGAGGACATTCTTTGGAAAGGTTAGTTGCTTTAAGCTCCTTCAGATATTCGAGTGTTCAGCGCAATGGCAGAAAGCGCTGTTAAGATCAGTTAAGTCACCAGTTCGAGTCTGATTGCACTCCACTTCATCCTTTCCTACTCTTTTTCCCTACCGAATATTTACCAAGCTTGTCGATCCTTAAAAATCCCTAATAGGTGTAAAATAAACGACGGGCACATTGGTCATGCCTGTGCCCAAATATTCGAAAGGATTATTGATCCAAGTGTTGCGTTTATACCTTTAGGTCGACGTGATCATACTGTGCTGCGGCCAATCGCAGCGTGCAGAATGGATATCGATTGATCCAAAGGTGGATGAAGCGTGCTTTCGAGTGAATGCTCTTGGACCAACGGTGTTGGCAAGAGAATATCTCAAAACGTTGGAGCCAGATGAAAAAGGTATATGAAATGCTCTGATCCTAGCAGGTGACCCACACATGTAGTCGCGAGCGGTCGCGTTGCGTTAGCGAGTCCGCCTAACATCGCGCGTCTGCAAAATCGCCTACTCTGAACTTAAACGTTAACAATGTGAATGAATTTAAATGGAAGGACTTTCATTCCCAGACGATGTGTAATCGCGACGCGGCCGCGCTGCACAGCTTATGTGCAGGCCTTCTTCACAATGGAAAATATATTAAAACTCAGTAAGGGCTTCTAGGCTTAGGATAGGGTATTAAGGGACAAAATCCATTGGTTTTTCTTGTTCATTGGTAGACTTAGTGGTGAAGTAGAATCTCTAAATGCACAATTCTTATGTTGCATTTTTTATCCAATTATTATTTGAGAGGAATCAGCTGACCAGAAACGGACGCGTGCACTCGCGACGCGGTGCTCGAACACTGGAGGCTCTGGCGCACACCGCGTGAGTATAACAGTGTCTGTGCAAATGCAGCATTTGCTGCGTGCATTGCCTACAAGTTGACTTCGATCCCCCGGACCCGCCCCGTCGCTATACGGTACCATCCACGCACGCCGCGGCATATGAACCTGCTACGACGCAACCGCGCGCGCACCTGCAAGGAATTTTGTCTTCTAGAGCTGAACAGCTGTCAGCAACAAGCCACCTTTTACTGCGTCTTTTTTCAGGACATTTACCACCCACTCATTTCGTTGTCGTGAGCAGTGTGGCCGGAGTCATTGGGGCTATATTGTCGCCATCGTATACGGCCGCAAAACACGCCCTCATGGTGAGGTCATTATTATAAGTTGAACATAATCTGAATACAAAAATTGAAATCCTATTCGATGAGCGATATTGGGTGCTAACTTAGTTGGGGGGGGGCACGCGGCGGCGCGGCAGTCTGCTCGTCTGGCATGTTCGGAAATCCGTGGGCCAGGGGGAGTGTAGCCAGCCTAGGGGGTGGGGGCAGTCACTTGACATGCGTGAAAAGCTGGAATGTTCGAGTTTACACTGTCTCGCTCGAGAGAGCCCAGGTGAGCAGACTGCCGCGCCGCCGCGTGGCCCCCCCCAACTAAGTTAGCACCAGATTTTCAAATCCTGAGCAACAAATTTTATGTCCTTTATGTTCCCAAATTTCCGGAAAACGGAAGTCCTCCCAAGAGGCCCCTCGTGCGGCGAAGGACGAGTCGCAGCGCGTGCTGTGCGATATGAGACGTAGTATGGTACACTCTATTTAACCTGACGCCTAACCGCTACAGTATGCGCTGCGACTCGTCCTTTGCCGCGTCTGCGTCTCTTCCTTCGCCGCGCGGCGGGCCTCTTGGGGGACACCCGGACCATTTCGAGCCAGGGTCAGGAGACCCGACCGACACCATTCGTGCGACAGCGCGCACCGTTGTCGCAACGTCCCGCCGTGCATGTTAGGCCGATGTCAGACTTTGCGAATCGCGCGATTCGCTAGCGTCTGCGGTCGCGTCGCGGCCAGTGAATCACTCAATTGGCTGGTACCGCAACGCGACCGCGGACGCTAGCGAATCGCGCGAATCGCTAGTAGCGAATCGCGCGATTCGCAAAGTCTGACATCGGCCTTAGGTGGATTACAATTACAGTTATCCCAGGGTGGATGAAAAACAGAAAGGAAATGCTCAGCTCATCTCCAAGACTTCCTTCCCACTGAAAAAATTGGAACTACTCAAGGCGGCACTAACAGTCGCGCCTTATGCCTTCACTCTTCTTTCATCATTCGATGAAGTTTACAAACTACGACTCCTGCAGGATTTTTTGTAACCAACTCTCAAGTTCAGGGCTATTTTCGAGTGCTCGCCTTGGAGTACACGGGCAAGGGCATTGCTGTTTCTCTCGTGTGTCCGTCGTTGACATTTGCTCCAAATAACGTATTGAATGCGTTTTCTGGTGATCTCGCGAAGGTAGGTGACGTCACGTCTCCACTGTGGTCAGAGACGCAGAAAAGCGCTGAAATTTCATGAAATCGGAAATATAAATTTTTTCAGGCAAACGGTGAAGTGGTGACCGAGGCGACCACGGCGCACATGTCCGCAGCCCGTTGTGCTCAACTGATCCTGCTGGCCGCTTCAAATCGGATTTCAGAATGCTGGCTAAGCCAAACAGCACCGATTTTGTTACTGTGCTACTGTAGTATTATCATGCCAGGCGTCACCAACAGGTACGGTAATGATGGAACTTCGGACGAACGATTTCTTTTTTGGCTGTGCGATGAAAAAATTCAAAAGAGATGAGCCAAATTAGTCCACACCTTACGAACAGATGTGGATTTCCTACCTTAGACGTGAAGAAGGCATTCCTCCAGATTTAGGGGGAGGCGGGGCAAGAGTTTTTGTGAGGAGAGCATATTTGTACACAACGTGACATCGTTCCCCGCCTTCACCACGTTCCGTTCAGAATCCTAAATTTATGCTCCACGATTGCCTAGTTGTGTGATTATTTTTATGTCTTACCAGATTCCCCCGTCAACCGCCGGGACCTTCCTTTCCTGCGCAAGCTTTCTATCCTCCGCTATGGTCCCTTCCTCCTGTGACACCAACACCTCGTGGAAGTGACGCGTATGCAACACAATGGTGTTTCAAACAGTAGAAGGGACACAATCATGATATGACGGTAGATTTTTCCCTTCCTCATCCTCCCTTCCTCTCTCCACTGCCCTCCAGCTGCCACTGCAGCACCATGTGGAATGAACGGAAGTGTGCTAAGCAGGTGTTTATATAGCCCTAAGAGTGTTATCACAACTATCCTGCTACAAAACATTGATATCTCAAATCCTGTAAGCTACCCGATTTGTTAGCGGTTTGTTTATCCCATGAGCTTCCTTCTCACTCACTTCATTTTGCGGACGGACACACACACATACACACACACAACCGACACACACAAGTTAGCGCTTTATAAAATAGAAGGATATAGATGGTGAAGGGCATGGGTGATAGTTATTTAGATATATAAATGCTATAGGCAGCTGTTGGCAACATCGAATTAAGGCTTTTTAGCGATTACTACGTAAAGAGATTAGCATGTAGATAGAGTGTGCTGAGGCGCTAGATAGCTGGAACATTCAAACCTTCCGCGCCATTACTACGTGCTTCGAGCCACGCGTGTAATAGATGTGTGGGCCGAACGAAGGCTCAGGATAAGTCGACATTCATAACCTCTCCAGCCCCTACTCACGTTCTTGGTCCGGCGCGTGTTTTAACCTCTGACAGCTGTGACTCGCAAACCATAGAAAAAATCATGCCAATAGTCAGATATGTTTTTTTCTAGTTTTTTTATGTCCCAAAACGCGCCACTTACAAAACGTCGTAGCTCCCAAAAACGCATTTATGCCCGCCAATTTAGTTTTCTTAATTGCAAATGAAAATCATAGCCGGTATCGTTTCGTCGCTTCTCATGACTTTCTAGAGTCCTCTCTAATTCAACCAAATAATCCACATTTTCTAGATCTACAGATGGGTGACACTCTTTGGAGGTACCACACCTGATTTGAACGTTGATGCGCCTCTCTCCCCTCCCTCCCAGCTTCTCCATAATAATTGCTAAAAGCCAATACAGGAAAGCTTGTCGCAAAAATATGGGTTGATTAATCCCGCATTATTCCGGAACTAACCTAATAGCATAAACAGCAGGAGCACCTGTAACAGAGTCAACCCTGCGTTGCGCAGTTCGCAACGGCACGTTGAGAGATCCTCAACGCACGCTGTATGGGCGGAGACGCAGACGGCTCGAGCATGCGAGTGTGAATGTTCGCGCGAGAGAACGTGTCTAATCGGGCGAAACTGCGCAACGTGGCCGTTGAAAACTGCGCAACGCAGGGTTGACTCTGCCTGTGCGCTCCCAACACGTAGGTAGGGTCAAATGAAGTTAAATAAACGAGCATGGAAATGCAGACATTTTAACATTTACGTAAGATAAGCAGACATTTTAACTTTAAGTGCTCTCGTAATCAATCGGTCAATAGGCGATAGAAACAAGTTCGCCTGGGGGGGTTTTTCGGGCTATTGTCGAATGCATGGCGCATTTGAAGGTGCGCAGCATCAACGTCACCCTTTAATACTTCGATTCGCATTTGGATTTGGCTACCGACAATAAGCTAAGGCAACGAAGTTTTCGGATCAATAGCTGTTTTTGCAGGATCATTCAATCGATAGGTATCGATCGAATCAAAAACATTCGAACTGGAAGCCAAAACAATTGAGGTTGACAAAGGCGCCGATGGATCTCGCGAAGAGTTTAGTAAAATGCCTGAGATATATCTTGTTACGTGTATTTGTTTATACTTGCTTTGTATTTGTAATTTTGATCATAGGTCTATGAGAAAAATTAATAGTACTCTTATTTGTAAACATATTCATCCACCATACTGAACAGTAAGTAAGCGTTAGTGCTATATTTATTATTAACAGGGTCAAGCGGCGTTGAAGAATCCTCGACAGTCGCCCGGGGGTGGGGTAGTATTTCCTCGCTGAAGGAAATGTCAGATTATAGATGCCCAAGTCTGCGAGACTGCATAAACACAACATCAAAGGAGTGATCGATGCTGTGCAATGATCAAGGCAGATCCAAATACGAATAAAAATGTTCGCGGTAACATCTAAAAATTTCGTTAAGTAAGAGGAGTGCGGGTTAATACGCCGCACTCTACCTGCCAGGATCGAATAGAAAGTTAAGGACGATTCACGATTAGAATGAAGGTCGAAGAAGGAGTAATTCACCTAGTTGAGGGACCCGCGGACCTCCTGAGGGTGCGGACTGAAGCGCAATTGGCACCGAAGGCGTTGACCTCGGCGACCTTTTAAGGCTTAATCTTGGCGCGGTTGGCGTGGATCGCCGCCCACCGACCAGTCTGATCACTCGCCGCAGGTCTATACGTGGCGAGTGATTAGATAGGTGAGAGAGCGTAGTGTTGAAGAGGGCACAGCGATGAGAGTCGCATCAATGCTCAAATCAACGGGCAAGGAAGGGGTCCCATTTCTCGGGTTCTGGGCCGTTTCTCATGGTTTTTCCTTCTTTAGTGTACCACTCACCATCGCTAAGTTAATTTGAAATGGGTTGCCTTTCCAGCGTGAATTCGTCCTTTAAGTCATGTTAATTCTTAGTGAGATGCTGACTTTGATCTTGTCCATCTTTTGCGAGGTCTTCAGCGTCGGGCCCAGAGGTTACATCAGGAGGTGAACGATTATGGAGCAGAGGGTATGGAGCGAAACGCTGTGGAAGATCTCTCCTTGGTACGTCGCCGAGCCTTAAAGTCAACATCTCAGCAGGGAACGTGTCGGAAAACGACTGCAATCCCCTCGTGCGATCCAACCAACGCCCTTTAGATACCTAGCGACGTTCTTCAATCGTGAGTTTTGTTCATCACACTTCTTACTTCTATCTAGTCTGAAAAGCTCCGAAGTAATGTAATCGATGATTGCAGCCGTTTTCCGACACGCCATCCGTCCTGGGGACTGTTTTCTTTAAGTCCAGTCATTAGATGAGTCAGCTACCGTATGCCTCTCACCCTCTCTGAAACTCTCCGTCCCGACGTACTTCGCGTACAGAATGGCTACTTCAGGGGAATCGCCCAGAAATGGGAAAAAAGAATAATAATTAGTGTTTTTTACAAGCGCTCTTTCAGTCACTACAGTGGCTAAAAAAGGTTCCGCGCAGTAATTCTACGTCACCTGACTTATTTATCACGACGAGCTTAAAGAATCCGAAAATCAGCACAATTTTCGACGAACATTCTACCTTCCAAATGAGTCCACCAACATGAAGGGATGTGAAGCACGCGCGCGTGTCCCAGAGTGAGCCCAGTCCCCTTCAAATATACGGCTCTATGAACAACAATTTTTTTTTTCGAACTCATGAAAAACCAACAGATTTCGAAAAGGGCCCTGTAAAATGATAGGCGAATCCCTATCAACGAGAAAATTGTGTATCTCACGTCAAATCCTTTATAATTAAAGCGCTTACTTGTGTGTCGGTTTGTGTATCTGTATTTTGTGTGTGTGTGTGTGTGTGTGTGTGCGTGTGTGTGTATGTGTATGTGTGTCCGTCCGCAAAATGAAGTGAGTGAGAAGGAAGCTCATGGATAAAACAAACCGCTAACAAATCGGGTAGCTTACAGGATTTGAGATATCAATGTTTTGTAGCAGGATAGTTGTGATAACACTCTTAGGGCTATATAAACACCTGCTTAGCACACTTCCGTTCATTCCACATGGTGCTGCAGTGGCAGCTGGAGGGCAGTGGAGAGAGGAAGGGAGGATGAGGAAGGGAAGCGAAAAATCTACCGTCATATCATGATTGTGTCCCTTCTACTGTATGAAACACCATTGTGTTGCATACGCGTCACTTCCAGGAGGTGTTGGTGTCACAGGAGGAAGGGACCATAGCGGAGGATAGAAAGCTTGCGCATTAAAGGAAGGTCCCGGCGGTTGACGGGGGACTAATCTGGTTTTATAATAAATGACTCACAACCTGGGTTTTCGAACGTTTCGCAACAGATTAGAAAATCCATGAAGAACGGACGGTCTTAAGTCATACATCGTATCTGAATATAGGCAGAATTCGTTTGCGCATCCCCTTATGGTTAGAAGTGATCGATCTGTCGAGAACTGCAACAGTGGCGGTGCAGTGCTCGGAAGCAGGGTCAACCGTCACGTCGGACCAATTTCGGAGATTTTGCCCTTGTCCCTTCTAGAGGGCCTCGATACGACCCCCCTCCCCTCAGAGGTTAAGCACGTCACGACATCCTCACCACCCTCCGCCTGCACCAGTGGGCCAGAGGCATTCTATGCATTTGAGGACCAGTCGACTCAGCCCACCCCTCCACTTTACCCCTCCGAATTGGCCGTCGAGCCGTAGCGGGGGGGTATATATCGTAAATTTTTCGCACTCAAAATCCCAGCCAACAACCTCTAATTCGCTCTCCGTTCCATAAAAATCATCCCCTCCCTTACTGTAACATTAGCTACCTCGCGAAATACACCCCCCCTTTTCCACCTCCCAAATACGACCCCCTTCGTTGGACTTTGTCCAAACGGCGTACCCTGCCGAGCATACTCCACGAGCCGTGAATCGAAATCACCCAGCCATCAAGTCCTGTTTGATTCCAAGAGATACAAAGTAATTGTGGTTTTTTGGAGAGTCGGGAGAAGTCATAAAGGAAGTACGTGAGAGTGGTTTGGGATAAGAAATTTTCCCCTCGTAAAAATGTGCAAAACGCGCGTCACACAGACAGTTTGGAGGAATTTAGACTTATATTCATTATTTATTAACTAACCACTCGTAGTGCACTACAAAAATCATTAAACCAAATCCGTTAGAATCAGAAATATGATTAAAAATAAAATGAAATACACTATTCACCCACAACTCAGGGCGGGGTTGAAGTGTGCCAAATAGACAGCTGAATACGCCATCGATTCACACTCCGTGGAGATAAGGGGAACGGAAGGGTTTTAAAAATAACAACATTTCTGCTAATTTGCCACTTGACGCTGCCGCACTTCAACATCTGCGAATTATTGTGCGGGAGAAATGTGCAGGTGAAAAGCCTTGGAAATCAGATAAAAATCGCGTGCGCGGAGCATTAAAGGACTGAACGAAGCCGAAGTTGTCCACTTTTGTTCTTCCTATTCTTGATTGCTCAAAACCAGTCATGACAAAATATAAAACCTCATCAATGGGAAGATCTGTCAGCCTCCAGCACCTTTACTGAACTTCATAAGCAGATGTGCTCTAGGGCTACACGCTGGGCGTCCTTTAAAATTTTTGGTTCATGTTTATAATTAAATATGGATCTAAAATTTATTTGCCTTTTGATGCTTTTTTGGTTTGTGTTACCTCTATAATTATCTCTAATTTGCTTATTCTAGGAAATTGATCTATGACGCAAGCGTCATCGGATTTCCGAACGTGTCGGGAAGAGTTTCGTTGTAACGACGATGGATTCTTTACGTTCACTTCCACTGAGCAGGTTTGTAGGTTGGTTCGGTATCTGTTGAAGATTTCGTACGTGATTTTTCTTTTCAGAAACGTGTAGAAGACTTGGTGGAAGATCAGGTAAAAGGGTACGGGAACACAGACCAAGGCGATGTCCCTGCTCCAGTGCTACACAGAAGCCTCCACGTCGATTATCTAACGAAAGCTTTGAGGGAGTGCGGTCGTGGATACAGCGTAGGTTTTTTTATACTTCTGTTCCTTCTCTTTATTATTCAATTCCTTCGAAATCGACACATTCGGCACTATTTCATATTAACAACCAGTGGGCGAGATGGTCAAAAAAAATAATTTTGCTGAAAACTTGCTATGAGTTCGAGTCCTGATCATATAGATATCCTTTTTTGCGCTGGTGCCACATTGGCTGCCATTTTGCACTTTGGCGCCAGTTGGCGCCACTACTGATTATCACCAAATTCGCTGTAAACTTCTGAATAGGGCTTATTTGGGGCCCTGATCACGAATATGACACTGGTTTTTAACATTCGCGTTGTTTAACGCATATTTTCTGATTTTCTAGGCTTTCTCACCTATGGCGTCCTATTACAAGGGAGGTCGTTCAGGGTGTGGGACGCTTTTTCAAAACGGTTTTTTTGCATGCCGTAGGGGCTCTCACGTAGACCACATTACTGTGTTCCATTTTCGCTGAGCGGCCCCCTGAAGGTCAGAAAAAGGTCGAAAAAAAGTTGGTAAGAATGGGTGGTTTTCAGTGCCTTGGAGTGGTGCTTTGAACTTGTGGAAAAGATCACCCGCAAATTGAAGGGTACTGATGAAGACGGTATCGAAAACAGCGTGAAATTCGCTCAAAATTGAAGTTCTGTCAGTGGTAGTGCTGAAGGAAGTACGAGGGCTTCATAAGCGTAGTCGGCATCGTGTCCGTTGCAGCGAAGCGGTGGTCAAGTGGGTAGTGTGTCCGCCTCGAGACTGCACGGGTTTGTGTCGAAGTCCTACCCGAAAGTAACTATTTTGCATTTCAAAACTCCGTAACGACAAATTGCTTTAGAGTCAAAACTAACGCTATATTCACAGTCAGGACAACCAGTAGCTCTTACAAATGGATTTTCTATAAAAACTGGCGGGATAAGTTTGCAGCACCAAACTGTCGTCAAATGGCGCCTACGCCAAAAACGAAAGCCATATTCGTGATCAGGACCCTGATTTACCCCCACATGCAGAATTTCGGGAAAAATCGAGGTTTTGACCTAACTTCGCAAAAGGGGGTGACCATGAGCTACAGGTCGTCATGCACGCCAGCGAGCAAGTTGAAGACGTGCGCGGCGCGGAAATCAAGCGGAACGCCTTGTTGGTTCACGAGAACCAAAATTCGATTTTATACTAAACATCTTCCATCACGTCCCAGTCCTTGGAATCGATCCAGCTATCGAGATGCAGCCGTTCGAGTGGAGGACCCGTGGGTCCAATATACCACGTCCTGATGGAGGGAGGAATCTTCGACTCGAATCAAGTGTCTTGTGTCCATTCACACTTGGTGTCTGCGTCCATTTAGTATTGGAACTTCTCATTATTTGAGAAGGAGAACAAGGAATTCGTTTCCCGATCACCAGCTGCAGTACTTACGGGCTGACCTATCATCAATGGCCAATTTTTCGGACCAAGGTCAAAATCTCAATTTTCTCTAGAACTGCTAATTTAGAGAATATCGAGTGCCCTGATCATGAATATGACATCAATTTTTTCCGATAGCTTCAATTAGCGCTTTTCAGGCGGGCCATGGCGTCTTTTTGGCACTACAACTTTTTTCCGCTAGATTCTAGCAATAGTTCGAGTGCAGTACTCATTCATGGTCTTGATAATGAATACGGTACCTAATATTGGTGCTGGCGCTATTTTGAGCGAATTTCGAGGCTCCAGTCCGAATGCAAAAATTTTGTCATCAGGAGGGACTGAACCCTGGACCATTTATTTACCATTTTTTGACCTTCAGGGGGCCGCTCAGCGAAATAAAATAGTACTGTAGTCCCCATGAACGCCTCTACACAGCTAAGACCACGTTTGAAACAGCGCTCCACCACTGAACGACTCCCTGTAAAGCTTATGAGGGATGAAACCCCGGAGTGGGTGAACCGCGCACCGTGTGGCAAAAGTTGGAGTGTGTTAGACCACAGGGGAGTGCCCTACTCACTTGGAGCCCTCCACTATTCAAAGGCTTAGTCCTGATTGCGATCTAATTAGTGCGAGGGCGCAGACGAGCAGGAAATAGGCGCCGAATAGCGCTAACAACAAAAACGAATGTCATATTCGTAATCAGGACCCCAAATAACCCCTATACAGAAGTTTACAGCGAATTTAGTGGGAATCAGTCGTGGCGCCACCTGGCGCCAAATGGCGCCAAATTGGCGCCAGCGCCAAAAATGAATATCATATTCGTGATCAGGACCCTCGATAACCCCCATAGCCGAAGTTTCAGCGAAAATTATTTTTTGACCCATCTCACCCCTACTGGGGTTGTAATAGTGCAATAGTGCCGATTGTAATATTCATAGTCATAGTATTCATAATGATTTGTAAACATTTCGGGTAGTATACCTTTCTTAGTTGTGAGAGATCAAGCAAAATTTTCATGCTGAAACTTCAGTAGAAGTTGTTGAAGTATGTATACTTTTGGGAAATTTGGTGGCAAAGCATGGTGCTAAGCGGTGCTGATTAATTGGTCAGGATCGTCATTTTTTTCTATATGAGAACTTTCAGTAAAGTAATCCTTGCCCCACATAGCCTCCAATTGGTTGTAGCTGGTAATGGCACCTATCCTGCTTTATGGCTGTGGGTCAAATTCTCCCTTTGTGTGTCGCTGTCGGTAGGCTCAAAAGGTAAAATTTGTTGGTTACTTTTCGACGACTTTGGAAGAGCCATCCATTCAAAATCGGAGGGAAATTTCGTAGTCGAGGTATTACCCGGTATCACCGGTCGACGGAATACTTGAACTCAGCCTTTTATGCGGCCTCTGCGTTCTCTCGTAGGTCCCTCTCCTTTCCTAGGCTTAGTCCAAGGGCAGTAGTTCGTAAACCCGGTCTCACCAATGGTACGCTCACGTCCCGCAAGAGTGTGGTATGTGTACCACTGGTAAACGAATGGTCAAACCGGCGTTTTTTCCTATAAGCTGGTGTAATCCTGTAGTCCTGTGACTTTTCTTCTTACTGATGAACCATTTTGAATATTTACAAAAGTGGTTAAATAAGTTATATTAAATGTTACCGCGTCATGGTTTCAAGGATTCTTACTTTACGACTGTCCTATCCCTAGTTCTTCCAGGGCTTTGGATGCAAGCCGTTCATGGATGTGCTACTGGGGACTGCACAGCTTGAATATACTTGGCGTATCTTTGCCGCATAATCAGAAGGCCGAGATTCTTGCATTTCTGAAAACTTGCCAGCATCCTGATGGAGGCTTT